AGGCTGTAAACAGGGCCTCTGTAGAACTGGTCCCAGACTTGAGGTGTCTTTCCTCTTCTCAGACACCTGGATTCTGTTGACAACAGCATAAACATGACAAATCTCAGCACTGACTCCAGCTCCTTGTATAACTTTGGTAGAGACTCCTCCAAGTGTGGGTCAGGAATTAAGTTACTGTAGTGCTAGATCATGGTCATTTTCTAGGGCTGTCTATACACCCAGTTCAGCAATAACACTGCCTCTCAATGTATCTGAAATATCTCACCTATAAAATGAGGCTGCATCCTGTGCCTATTTTGGTGTGATACTGGTAGGGCTAGTGTTTGAGCCAGTCTGTTGAGGATTTGAACAGGGAGTATTGCCCAAAATTGAAACCCACCTACAAAAAGCAGTAGGAGTAAATGGGAAGCCCTGGCTGGTGTGGTTGCTGAGATGCGTTTGTTTTGTGTTTTCCAGGCTAAGTGATGCAGGGATGTCTGGCTGTGCTTGCAGAATCTGAAACAATAACTGTGAGCTGCTCAGTTCATCTCAGTGCTTGCCAACTCAGATGCCCTGTGCTGATGTTTTAAGTACAGACCACTGGCTGTCAAAGTAAGAAAATAGTAAGGAGATGAAGGAGCTGTGTATTCAGCTGTGATTAAGATTGCATCTCAGCACTGTGAGTACTTGACCTAGGGATCTATTTCCCTGTCTCCTCCTCCAGCCAGAAATCTATTTAGCGGGACTGAGCCTGGCATCTGACCTCTGCTCCTGTATATCCCTTTTAAGCTTCTGTGATGGCAAGGGAAGATAAGCTTGCTGAGCCCTGTAAGGCTTATGACTCTATGGATCCCAAGGAAGGAGTGGAAATCCTAGGGAGTCCAAGGATGGTGTGTTATCATGTTCTGAACAGTGCTCCATGCAGCTACCACTTGCCCCATCCCTTGATTTGAAAAAATGGTATCAAATTTTCCTTTATTCTCTGCCTTATTCTGTTATTTTATTAAAATCATGCCATGCCTCAGATTTGGCTGCATGGTTCCCTCTTGCTTTCATAGATGTGCTTTTCATGTGTCTTTAAGAAGCTATACGAGCCATAAAGCAGAACACTAGGCATATTCCCTCCCTCTGCATTTTAAATATGCACAAGGAGTTTGGTTTCTGATGTGTTTGCACAGTGGATTCTAATCCCCCTCTGCAGCATTGCAAGCCTGTGATTAGCATGGCTTTGCTTTCCTTTCCTGTGGCACCTTTCTGCTAATGAATTAATTCCCACAACTTTCATATGGAACAAAAACATACTGTTAACCTCACTTTGCAGACACATTCAGCTTTTGACTGTTCTGAAATGTACATTGTCCAGTAATAGATATAAAAATAGCCAGAACTACAAATCCACAAGCAAAATCAAATCTTCACTGGAAGGTTATTGCTTTTTCCTGTATAGGATTGCAAACACTTCAGTGGCTGAGCAAAACCACGCTAAAGAAGGGACGTATTTGACTCATATGCTGGTAGCCATAGGGATGGACTTGGAAGAATTGTAACTAGAAACTGCTCTTTGTCTATCCTAGGTAAAGCCATGCTACTTGTTTTATTATTAGTAGTAGTAGTCGTATTAGTATGTTTTACATTTTAGTGTCAAACTCATGGCCATAGTATTTGAGTAGACACCTCCTTGACCCCTGTCCCTGAATGTCTGGGCAACAGTATCACTATCTGTCCAAAGCTGCTCTGGGATACGTTTGTTCTGAAATGCCATTCCTTAACTGTTGAAGCCTTTAAAAGTAAAGTAAGTGAGGGACTAAGCAATCCCATGTCCAGTGCATGCGTGCATGCCATGCTGCTTGAAGCTGCATTGTCTAGCCATTTCATCAGCTTTTGTGCACTGATGTATGGCTTTTCTAAAATGCTTTGAAAGTGACTTCATTATGGTAGCAATGATTTTGATGCTGTGAGCTTAGAAGTTGATGTGGAAGCCTGTCTTTGGTGAGCAGGACTGCTTGGGTTGTATCTCGGAAAAGCAGGATCCTCTTGAGTCTTTCTGCCTTTGCCCAAGGCTTCAGGTAAGTTTCCTGCCTTATCCTTCTCTTCATGGGTATCAGGTGCTATTTGTCTTTTCTAGTCTGAGTTTGTGTTGCTACCTGTGGAAAAAAGTTTAAGCGTCTGTTCGACCCCAGGATCAGCTATTATCAAACTGCATCATCTGTCACTAAAAGTAATTTACACTTCCTCCCATCTCATTAATCTTATCCCTTTTGCTTTCTCTTTCTGCTGAGGTTCAAGATTACAAAAGCTCTGTGCCTTTCTTAGTTCTAAAATCACAGTTGCTTCTTTGGTGCCGGCCATTTCTCTCAGGAAAGTGACATCAGAATTAAAGAGAAGGACCCTTTCTAAGGGCTAGGCTGCAAATGAGAGAAGTGAGGTCAAAAACCAAACCCGTAAACTCTTCTCAGAGAAACAAATCGGCCCTCTGCTAGGCACAAACACTTGACTGAATGTACCGGGAGATTCACTCAGTGGTAGAGCTGGGAATACAGCAGACATGGAAAGGGCGTTCACAGGAAGAAAAGGACTAATATAAACTGAAATTCATCTGTGCTCTGGAACGTCATTTCTTTAAGCTCCAAACAAGCCTTACTATCATCAAAGCACATCTATCCTATGTCTTTGTTCATTTCCTTCTTAGTGGCTCATCCTGAGCTCATCTTTCCTTCGAGTCCCTTCACCCGTTGCTGCTGGCTTTCTGTCTCACCAGGAACATGGCTAGCTTGAGGCAGGACTGGCAGTAAATGCTAATGGGAAGGAAAATTTTGGTCTGAACTGTTTGCCTCCTTTTTTTTCCTGCCAGTTTTACCCCCCCAAAGCAATGAGGAATCTGCTGGGTGTTTTCCGAGGGTTTCAGTTAAGTTACAAAACTTGTTATATTTCAATGAAAGGGAGGCAAAAAGAAACAGAGAAGGTTACGAAGGCCTGTTATCTTCGTAACAGAGAGGTTTGGCCAAAGTTCGGATCCATGGAAGAGGAAATCTAGCTGTATGACAGAGGAAGGTTCCCATGATGTTGAAGGTGTACATGCAGGAAGAAAAGTAGAAAAAAGAAATGCTGCTAACATGCAATATGGATCAAGGGAACTTAAAAGCATTTGTAATGGCTGGAATCTGATACATGCTCCTGAGGGTCTTTACCAGGACTCATTTCCTTTATTACCCAGATATGTCAAGTCTTTCCATGTGCATTTGTTTTGTCTTGGGAGACTGAGGATTTCCTGAGTCATCTTGAGACCAACACGAGATTCGTGTCAAAGCCCCATAGCAAGTCCCTGAAGGAAGAAACAGGAATGAGTCAGACATGACAAGCTACTCTTTACACCTCTGAAGCAGCCTCTCTATTCCAGGGAGTGAGGCAGGCCCAATGTGTTCTTAAGGTCTTATCACAGAAATGAACTCACAGCTTGCACAATGCCTACTAAACACAGAGAAGCGAAACAGAATTTAGAGGAGTGGTGGCTGTGCAGCTGCATGTTGCTTCTTGAAGCCTGCAACAAAAAGGCGGACTGAAGGAGCTGGGAACAGTTCTAGACCAGACTTAAGCAATATATGGCTTTCAGGACACACTTGGCCAATGAAGCAATTAGTTTGGCCTCCTAGGGGGTCAGGAGACACCATGATGTTGGGATCGCTGGGTGCATGAGAGAAGTTCTTGTGCATTCAACAAGCTGGCCAGCTAATGCAGGCAAGGTGTCCTCAGCCAGCACACATGCACTTATCAGCTGCCAAAAAATGGGGTGTCACAGTCAACAGAGAGCCAGAGGAAAGGGAAGACGCATGAGAATGAGAAGACAAGGAGGATGGGAGTCCAGAGGCAGTGATAGTGGCAGTTCTGGTAAGATATGACAAACGGTGCAGTTTGAACTTGCTCAGCCTACCCACCTATCTACTGCAGAGAGGCATTCTAGGCCAAAATCCTGTCGTGTGAGGGAGATAGGGCTGAGTCACCAAATTCATTCCCCTGTTGTTTCATGCATCGCATCATGTAACGCCTGGCAAAGTCTGATTTGTTTAGTTTTGTCTCTGGTGTTCCAATAGAAAGGCTCTTGTGGGCCCTCCCTTTCTAAAAGGATTAGTTATAATTTTCTGCTGTTAATTTGTAGCTGTTTTGCCCTTATTATCTTCTTTTGTCCCTGAAAGGTCTTGACCCTGCCTGTTAATGCATCGACAGATAAGCCATATCCACTCTGTCTTCACTTTGCAGGCCATGCAGTCTGAGCCAACATGCAGCTCAGCCCTTCTAGGAAAGGTGAGTTGCACACACTGTATAATGGGAGTCTTTCAAATGATACCTGAAAAAACAGATCTTTCACCTCCATGGCCTTTCTGGTATCTTTCATTCAGAGTATTTAACCACTGCCAACCCTTCCTGGCTTTTGTAGCTGTGTTCTTTGCAGCTCTCTGGGATGGAAAGATAGGAGGTTTCAAGCCCACAGATCAGTAAGACTGACTCCATATGCTCAGAGTTGGGAATGTGCATAACTGTGTTTCTGGATCAAGATTAGAGTTCTCACCACTTGACAAGATTCAGCTTGTGCTTTGTGAAGTGCTGCCAGTTTCTCTGGAATTAAAGATTTATATAAAATATCAATGTTGAAAAAAAAGTCAATTCTCTGTTCCAGGTTTGTGCATGTGTGTAATGCATTAATTAAGAGCTGGTTGGGAAACAAGAAACTGCAACTGGTATCACAGTGCTCTCTTTATGCCATGTGTTCCCAAGGAGCTGTCAGCTGTCTACAGGCAAAACTAAGATGGAAAGGGACAAATGAAGGTGCAGAGATGATTTTTCTAGCGTCAGGAATTGGTAGAAATAGAGGCAGCACCTCTTGCTCCCTGAACGTAGCAAGTGTTCACTTTACTCTGCTTTCATGCTTTGCGGTGCTTTTTCTGGGGGTAAAATGCACAATTAGAGAGGAGCCTAAATGCAACACTAACACATTTTTTTTTCGCCTCTGCGTTGCTGTTTTCCAGCCTGCAACGATCGACACCAAGTTTTACTTGCACCGATCCGTCCGGAATGTGGGGCAGGCGCTGCTGGTTTGCGTTGGCAGACCTCGAGGAGGGCTGGCAGGACTCGGGGGTGACAAGTGCGAACCCAAGCGCCAGTTTTTGCTCGGCACAATCTAACAGCGCGGCAGGGCAGGAGCACCGAGGAGGAGGAGGAGGAGGAGGAGGAGGAGGAGGAGGAGGAGGAGGAGGAGGAACACCGCGGGGAAGCGGGCGCTGCTGCCCGGCCCCGGGGGCGCCGGTGCCTGGGCAGGGGTCGGGGCAGCCGGGGCGGTGGCGGCGCTGACCAAGGGCGGCCGCGGGGCGGAGCGGGGCGGGGCGAGGGGCTGGCCCGGTGCGTCCCCTCTGCCTGTGTCCCTAGAGGAGGGCTGGGCGAGGGCGGGGCGGCGGCGGGCCTGGCCCAGCCCTCCGGGGAGGAAGGGGAAGGGAAGGGGGTTGCGGGCTGCGCTGTTGCCCTTTTAAGCGAGCGAGTGGGTGCAGGAGGCCGGTACAAAGGGAGCTGCCACCGCGCTCGCCGTCCCGCCGCCGGCTGGGGCTGCCCCGGCACCCCCCCCCCCCCCCCCCGCCATCTTCCGCCCCGCAGGCGCGGCCGGGGCCAGGGTCGGGCCGGGCTGAGGCGGAGGGAAGCGGCGGCAGAGCGGGCGAGGCGGCGCAGGCCCGGGCCCGGAGATGAGGCCAGGATGTCGGTGTCAGGGCTCAAGGCCGAGCTGAAGTTCCTCGAGTCCATCTTCGACAAGGACCACGAGCGCTTCCGCATCGTCTCCTGGAAGCTGGACGAGCTCCACTGCCAGTTCGTGCTCCTGCCGCCGCCGCCGGGCTCCGGCCCGCAGCCGCCGCCGCCGCTCACCATCCACTGCAACATCACGGTGCGGGGCCGGGGCACGGCCCGCCCTCGCCATTGTCTGCGGGGCGCGGGGAGGGGGCGCAGCCCCGCCACGGGGTGACTCAGCACCGGGGGGGCCGCGGCCTCCGCCCGCCGCGGGACCGGGGGGGGGGGGGGTTGCCGAGGGGCCTGGGCCCGCCTTCCCCCGGGGCTCCGGGCTTCTTCCGCACCGCGGCCCTCACAAAAGTTAGGGAGCGGGCACTCGGCCTCTCCTCCCCCGCTGAGGCACGGCCCCGCGGTCCTTCGTTGGGGTTCTCCAGCGGAGGCGCCGACCGGAACAAAGGGCTGCCGGGCCCGGGGCAGAGAGGAGAGAGCCCCCGGAGCAACGGAAGGGCTCCGGGGCGAGCCGAGGGGCTGTCCCTGGCCTCCCCCGTCCCTGCGGTGTCCCGGAGGGGCACGGGGCGCGTTTCCTCTCTGCCCCGAGCGGTGGGAGCCCGGGCGGCAGGCGGAGGGCGAGCGCTTTACTGAGTGCGCCACACGGCCGAGGCCTGGAGCCGGGCGGCCCGCCCTGACCCGGGCGGGGAAACGCTGCTCGGGCGGGCCCGGCGGCGACCGGGCCTCCCCACCACACCGGTCAGTGCGGCGGGCTCCGGGAGGGACGGGAAACTTCTCTCTGTTGCCGTCGTGAGGGGGATAAAACGGTGCCCCTACTCCTCTGAACAGTTGCTGCATTATGGTGGTGGCGTTTAGGCTTGAGAAGGAGCTTTGAGCAGCCTGGGTGAGGCTGAGGGACTGCTACCTGAAGGGGTTTGTTTCTGCCCCCCTGCTTAAATTCCTTGGGGTCTGTTTGTTTTGTATGGGTGGAAGGGAAGCTACGGAAGTGTGCTACGGTAAAAATCCTCTGTGTTTAGGAAAGTTTAGGGCCTAAACTTCCCAAAGAATTTGATTATATCGGGGTCTGTGACTCATGTTCAGGAAAGTGCTGGCGGTTCCCTTTGATCAGACTGGTTGTAGTTCTAAGTGAATTTAAAAGCCTTACCAAGATTCAGCTGAAGAGTAGGGTGTTGAAAGACTTCAGCTGGTTGAAAATAGGGTTACTAGGTCTGGGTTTGAAGGAGGTAAGCTGTAGAGCTTTTTTGTCTTGCCTAAAAAAGGATAAAAGCTTCAAACGGTGTGGAGGTAGAACCATGCATGTAAGTACTGAAAGATGAAAACGTGCATGCAAACCACGCAGATCTAATAGTCTTGACTGTTACTTTGCTTGCCTTAAAGTAGCTTTATTAAGTTAGAGTTGTTAAGAGGATCTTTCAAGTTTCACAGTTACTTGTCCTGAGAAGTCAGTTCTGGGACATGGTCATGGGGCAGGTGTTTATTTTACTGGACACTGGTACGTTGTTGTAAGTTATATTTTCTGTGGTAAAATAAGTGAGATGCTTTGGTGTTCTTGTTTCTAGAATGACCTATCAGATGATTGATTGTGTGACTTCCTTCAGATACTTTTTATTCAGTAGAGGGTGTTTAATCTCAGAGAAGTCAGTTGTTTCTTTCCACAGTATCATCTGTTTCATCAGTCTTTCTCTAAAGAGTAAAATTAAAGGTTTGATGATTGGGCACCTCAGTTGCCAGTTGAATTTGGTGGGTTATTCCTAATTCATCAAGTGACAGCTAACAGGGAAGCCAGTAGCAACATGGTGTTTGATGCCTTGGGTTTGTGCTGTGGTGTACAACTGCATCTGAGGCTGCTTCTGTTGTAGCCGCTTTTGGTAGTAATTCTTTCTTAACTTACAAAGAAATATGCTCATTTTCTGGTAGGCCTTTGCATAAGGTGTGTCTGAGCAAACAAGAAAGAGGCTTAGGTCACTCTTGGCATTTTTATGTCTTTAATGAGGGAACAGTGTCTGCAATCTGCTATTACAGTCACTTGCCCTGAAGGTCAAGGGGTCTTTCACATGCCATTACAATTGTGGCGTATGAACTTGCAAAAAGAACAGGAAAAGAGAGGTTTCAAACGTTAGGGCAGAGACTTCTGCTTTGAAAAAAGGCTGTGTCCCAGCTTCTTGAAGTTTCCGTTTCATAGGTGTCTGCAGGCAGCCTGGTGCTTTCCAGTGTTGACTAATTCTTGGCTCTTTGAGGTAGGTGGCTGTTTTCCTCATCTGTTAAAAATAAATGGGAGAGGGCAACCTGAGATACCAAGGTGGCTCTCTTGAAACAAGTGGGCAGCAGATGACAGAGCCAAGAAGAGAAAGCTGACCTCTGGGCTTGTGTCCTATTTTTTTTTGACACAAGTGTTAGAACTCTGAAGTGTGACGAAAGTGATTTTCCTCGCACACACACACACTGAATTGAGTCTCTTGGCCTCAGTTTTTTCTTGTTTCTAGTTTTTTCTGTAGTTACAGTAAAGCAGAAAAACATAAGTCTTATTTACTGCACTTCACTGGATCTGCAGGTGCTGTAGGAGCTAGAACTTGAAATGGCAGTAGGAGCATGCAAAAGCCTGTAAGGCTGTTAGGAACAACTGTAAAGTTGATGGTAAATACATATTCTTGAAGAGACTCACCCTTTGCATCAGAAGCTGCTATCTCAGTGCTCTGGATTTACAGTGCAAATATGTAACTTTAGCTGTCTGCTTCTCATAACCAGGAGCAATACTGATCAAACCAGGATGTTCCCCTTACTCAACAAAAGTTTACACATATTGTGTGTGGATGCTCAAGAATCCTGTTAAGGGGAGCTGTAAGCACAAAGCTCAAGAATCGCTTTTCTTTGTGGTTCTGTTTGAGTACCTCAGTATTTAACTAGAATGAAAGCTCTCTAGCAGTGTGTACAGCTGCTGAAGTTAGTGGATGGAGCAAAACCTGCTGTGGAAGGAAGCTTCCAATAGCACCTACACCAAGTCTGAAAAGAGACCCTATAACTAAGCTGTTCCAGTCTTCACAATGCGTCTCTTTCTTTTCTCCAGTCTAGAGAGAGGAGGCAGAGGAAAAAGGAAACATTATCCTGGAGAGATGAGGGAGAATGTCTGCTTAGGAGCTGCATGGATCTCCACAGGTTTCCCAGTCTAAATTCCACAGTTTGATTAGAAGTCTGCCCTGGAATTTCTCACTGAGATGACTCTTCTGTTTCACAAAGCGACAGACGAACTTTGTCCAAGTCTGTACTTCATTATTTCTGGTAGTGACCCATATTGGAACTTTAATGGTTAATCAGATTAATTTAAAAGAGGTACTTTAGGGTGGAGTCATACCTGTCAGAAATACTGCTGCTTATTCCTGAGAACTGTCTAATTATTGAACTTGTTCAGGCTGTGTACGTTCACATTCCCGTTCTGTTATGCCAACAGCAGTGTCTCTGTTCTGAAGTTTTGTTTCTGCTTTTCTCAGGTTTTCATTTAACAGCAGCATTCCAGTTCATCAGGTTCAATAAAAAGTGTCCATTACAAAGTATACATATTGATCCTGTTCTGCATGTTTTTTGAAACAGTATCAAAATAGTGGCTTTAGAGGAGTGTGTGTGTTGATCGTGCCTTTCGGTGTCTTTCAATGGAATCTTGTAGTTTGGGTTGGTACCTTATCAGACTTATGTCATAGTATTCCAAAGGGTGTATTAGAATGATTCAACCTTATCCTTGTTAGTGCAAGAAAAAGGAGTGACTTGGACTGCTGTGAAACATCTTGTGTTTTTTATATAATCTCATCAGAGAGAAACTGGATATTAATATCTCCACCCATACACACAGAACTACCATTGAAACTGTGTCCTCAAGTAGCACTTGCAGGTAGAATGGGGTTTGTGCTAGCTCTGGGTGCGAGCAGATTTTGCCTGAGACAGATGCTGGGCTCTGATGTGCAATGATAGCCTTCATATATTAACAATTCAGTACAGGCGGTAGGGCTGGCTCCAGTACACTCTTGCTTCTCTGCTGGAAAGAAGTATCTTGTGCTTCCACTGAAAAATAGCCTGCTGCTAAATCAGAGTTAGAAGCTGCTGTGAAAGACTTGAAAAGGTTGCTGTCTACAGATAACTGCAATTGATGGGAGATGTCTTTATTTTCCTTTCTAAACCAGAATGGATGAGAAGCTTTTGATAAGTTGGGTATATGCAGAATGTTTGAGTACATTAGAATATTCAATAGTTCTTCAAAGACTAAGATTTTAAAGCTAAACACAGTCCTAGCTAATGCCTAGATGGCTGATAACCTTTTGAACAGCCTGTTTATTTTTACACAAACTAACCACACAATGAATGAGGCATTCAGTTCCAGTCACTAGACATTCTCTAGTTGGTGTTGAGACTTTTGTCTTGTAGCAGATGGATGCCAGGACTAAATAAAAGCGTACACAGCTTTATCTTGATCATATGTGCTTTTCTAACTAGAATTAGGGGTACTTGGTGCTTTACAAAAAGGCATGTGAGTTAACTGTTATCAAATGTAACTTATGCAATAGAAATTGAGAAGTTTAGTCTTGTTTAACAAATCGTAATTAAGCAAACAAATACTAAAAGAGTGAGGATTTTAACTTCTTCTGTATGCCAAGACTGCAGTTGGAAAAAGAATATTGCAAAAATGAGTGGGAGGAGTATTTTGTGCCTGGAAGACACAGGGCCTTATTTTGACCCCCCAGTTTAGCTGTGCTCCGTGACAGGACTGTATCCAGTACTTGAGGATGTTGCAGGTTGTTGTTCTGTCTCTTTGTAACGTATGAAGTGCTCCTAAAGCATCCTAGATAGCCACAGTGATGGACTTCAAATATAAATGCTGGCTTATGTTGAGGCCTTAATGTACAGGAAATTGCACTTACTTCAAATGGGTTACTCCTGCGAGTTAACGATACAGTAATTTCTGAACTGGGACTTTTGTGGCCCTCAAAAGAGCTCTCTCTGCACTTTGATAATTAAAAGAAGTTCTTATTAAAAGTATTATCTTCTTTTTACTCATCATGCTTCCTCATGGTAACTGTTCAGGAGGTTTTTTCAGAATACTGAAAGATATCTGCTAATTTTTCTGTATTTCTGAATATTCCCTAGTTCCAAAGAGATTAATTT